GCGATACCTTAGGAGAGCCTCCTTACCTTGATCTGTATTGGGATCCCACTGGGGATGCTGAGTAGGAAACACAGCCTGTATCCTGGTTAAGTCTGCTGTTGGCAGCCCATTCGGGTCCGTGACTCCTCTGGCTGCCTCCCGCAAAATCCTTTCTTTTTCCTCAGTGGTGAATAAAACCTGCAAAAGCTGCTGACAATCATCCCAAGTGGGCTGATGGGTAAAGAAAATAGACTCTAAAAGGGAGGTTAGTCCTTGTGGTTTCTCTGAAAAGGATGGCGTTTGCAATTTCCAATTATATAAATCACTAGTACTGAATGGCGAGTAGATGACAGTAGGCTCACCTCCACCTCCTGGAATCACCTTCAATGGGGCTTGAACAGATACTGGCTCTTTCAGGGAGGTTGAATCAGGGGAAGGTGGCCTACGACCCCTAGACCGGGTTACAGGAGGTTCTGGTCTTTCCGGAGGAGGACGTCCACTCCCATCACCATGATGGGGTGGTGGATACCAGTCATCCTCCGACGGAGGGCCCTGCAACACTGGTGGGGGCTTCTTAAGACCTTGGGGTATGGCTGCCATTACAGTAACGGGGGCGCGACTGCAATTCTGTAAGTACTTAGGGGCATCAGAAACAACGTCAATCCATACATCAATATAAGGAATTTGGTCAGGGTGCCCCGGGTTCCCATAAACAACACCCCGAACCCGAAATGCAGTCTGTAAATTAAATGATCCCTCGGAGGGCCATCCTACTCCGAAGGTCGGCCAATCTAGTTGACAAAACCGCTGCAAATCAAAAGGAGTTACTAAAGCACCATAAGCCTTTGCCCTGTGACGGAAATCTTTAAAGTGATTAAGCATGCATTGAAGCGGTGTTAGCTTACCCTGTGATTGTCCCATAGTTCCACAGTAAAGCACGCAACACAACACAAGAAAAACAGACACAGACTAACGAACCAAAAAACAAGACTGAGAAAACTGTCGTCACAGTCTCAGTCGACCGCTGACTTACTTGTCCGACGTCCCGTCCGCACGGTCCTGGGGCCCCTACCAAAAACTGCCTCAGCACTCCCAAGATCACGCTCCACAAAGCGAGAAACCACGGGCGGTGGGCTAGGGCAAGTGCCCTAGAGGCCTCCCCAACCGCAAATGGTCCAACGCCCTGGTGCACTGATCAATTTTCCCACAACGAGAAGATCTCGCTGGGGCCTCCAAAACCAGGCCCAACTCGAGTGCTCTAGTCCAAGAGACAGTTTATTAGCCGGCGGCTGTCCTTGCAAAGGAGCAGCCCCGAGACGCAGGGGCACAAAGGTTTTAAGCCCTCGATCCCATCCCCCGCATCCTTAATCTTTACACAAAAGACTATATCTCCTCCATTCATTAACTGATAACTAAGAGGTGGGTAAGCAAGCAGGGGTACAGAAGCAGAATGCGTCATTGTTAAAATATTTTGTACCTATAGGCAGTGATCTGGCCAGTAAATCCCTTTAGTTAACAAATTTTTAGCAGATAACTAACTAGAAGTGAGACATGGCGGTTAGCACGTACCATGTCTTATCCTTAACCTATTGTTTCTAAAGGTGAGGTCACTACACTTTCTCCTGCCCCCTTAATCTACCACCGATAGATTTCATGTAACCCTTCTTACGTCTCCTGCTTTTTTATTCCAGTGTATAAAATCAGCAGCAAAATTTCTTAAAGAGCATTTTTTCAACCTGTTGAGGTTTTGCTTCCTGGCAATTGTCAGTTTGGCTCAAATAAACTTATAAAAATTCTCTACAGGTTTGGATGTTTCTTACATCAACAAATTGCAGCCCCACTCTCTCTCTCTCACATGGGGGAGCAGCTCCCTGTGCCCAAGTTTGGTGGAGTCTCACCACACCTGGGTGCAGGGGCAAGCACAGGTGGAGAGCACGTTTCCTGGAGCCTCTGCTCGGCCCTGGCAGCACTAGATCCAAGTACTCTGGTTCCTAGCCAGGGACGTCAGAGTACATCAGGACACATGGCTTCTCCTAGCCATCTTGTTTTAATAGTCAATTAGAGTATTTATTTTGTGAAATGGATGTGCTCTGTCCTGGCCTATAAATGTCGCATCAATCCGAGAAGCTGAGAGAGAACAATGGCCCTCTCCTCTCTGACGCAAGTAGATGACTCTAGATTCTCATTCTGGATTCTCCTGTCCTCTTAAACAGTTAGCCTTATCTTCAGGGAAAAGGGCAATCTCACGAGGTTTGTAAAGAGAATATTCAGCAACTCCAGGTGCATCAGTGTGTGCAGTGAGGACCTCCTCTGTATTATAGTCTTTCTAGCTCTAGGGCAGGCAAGGGAGGAAACCAGAGGTGGGCAGAAACCCTGGGGGAAACTCCCTAGAGATGCTGAAGGAGGTAAAAAAGGGTGAAAAAGGGAGTGCATTCATTCAACAATTATTTACTGAGCACCTAACGTGCTAGGCACTGGAAATACAGAAATGACTGAGACAGCTAAAACCCCTGGCCCTGCAGGAGCTCACATTTCTGTGGGAGAAGACAGTTAATAAACAGTGCTGACATAAGAAACATCCAAACCTGTAGGCCAAGCTAATGATGTATGCTGGGGAGCAAGATCTCATATGCTCTGGAGAATAGCAGCTTCTCTTATGCATTTGAGATTATGAACGAAAGGAAGATTACAGCAGGTGGGAGAAAGCAACACGGGGATCGGATTACAGGATAGTTAATAAGATTATGTGCTCTCTTGAGGGTGGTTAGGGCTTATTTCAAAGGTGTATTAACCTAGATGCACAGAAACAATGGACAGGGCTTGCTTAAGGCAAAGATAGACGTTTTATTAAAAAGTTATAAGCCTGGGGTGTGACTACCCACTCTGACCCGCCCAGTTAGGAATTTATGATCAGCTCACCCTCTTAGGTTACTTTACATAGAACTCCTTTTTAACAACAGACCTCTGCCAGTTCAGCTGTCAGATCTCTCCAGCTCATGGGGAACCCCACAAAGAAGTCCCCCAGGTCTCTTTGGAAGAATGCTGGATAGATCCAAGGATCCTTCCAAGAATGCTAGAAGACTTCTTAGCACCTCCATTTCACAAGCCTGATATCCTTGTGCCGCCCATCGCAGTTGCAAGAAAGATGCTCAGAGATCTCCATCAGCCAGAGAGCACTTACAATATACAGGGCACCACGCCAGTGGTGCTGAAGGGGCGAGGAACTGATTCCTGTTTTCCTAGTTTACAACCCACTGCAGAGGCAACTCACCATCCAAGGGCAGGAGCCCGGCAATGAACACCTGCATCTCTAGCCCTTCGTACAGTGCATGGAAAGGCATGGCTCCCTGAGTGTTGAACAGATAAAGGACCTCTGAGAACTGCTACATGAGCTCAGAGAAGATGTTGCCCTAGGAAAGGAGGGTACCTGAAGGAGGCAGGAGAGGATCTGGGCCTTGGCAGAATAGAGAGCTGGGAAGGATGGATATTTTAGACAGGAAACCCGTGGAGGTGAGAAAGTACAAGATGTTCGTGCGTAGGTCTCAGTGGGGTGGTGGAGGAGAGGCCCCTCACAGCAGTATTCCTACCACAGGGCTGTCAGAACTCTGTCTCTTCACTCACTGTGCTTTTTGGGGTCCGGTTGTGGGGCCAGTCCTGAGGCACAGCCCACCTGCCTCTGGCCTCAGGGTTCAGATAACCTCTGTCAGGGTTTATCTCTTCAGCACAAGTTGGCTTCTTGGAGTAATTTGACACCCTTTATCAGAGATTTGTGAATATGCCTCCCCACCCCCTGCCGCAGGAATATTCCAGAAACAGTCCCAGGGGTCAGGTAATTCCTAGTCAGCCTCCCAGATGAATGACATTGGTGTCTAACTTAACCATCAGAGCCCCCATGTCCTCACCTGTAAAGGGAGGGGAATAACTGTCAGTAGCAGGTGCTGTGAGGTCTTGGGTGAGCTAGGGCTACAGATGAACCCATACACTTTTAGAAAACTACCCAAGATATTCTCTCCTCACTGCGGTGCTGCGATGCCATCAGCATGGGAGAAGGGAGGGCAGCCAGCAGTGCTGGAAGCCATCTTTCTGGGCCAGGGTGCTGGTTTGCAGTCCAGGAAGTCTAGATGGGGAAGCAAGTTCCAGCATCCTCAGCAGCTTCTGGAGACCCAAGGGTCTTGAAACCTGAGGACTATTGGGAAGGGTCAAAGGTCTGCCCTAAGGGTGGGCAAGGGACAGAAATGTGATAGGACCACTAAGGCCTGGATGCAGCCTTGTTGAGGGGCGGGCTTCTACTACACCAAAGAAGGAAGCCTGATGCAATCTGGGGCCTTGGCCTCTTACCATCTGTGCCTGCCACTAGACGTCATCGATTATAAAAGGGATGTGGATTTGAAGTGTGTCTCAGATTAAGGGGTAGGTCTCAGAAGTCACCGTGGCCTCCATGCCCTCCTTGTCCTGGTTAAGAGGCGTCCTGCACACTTTAACCGTGGAAGTGTAGGGGGCGGACCGGGGAGGGCGCAGATCAGGAAGCTACCAGACTGGCTCCAAATCTTGGATCAGGGGTGGAGGGTCGTTGTTTGCCGCCGCCGGCGGCGCTGCAGGGTCCTATGGGGACCGATGACCCTGCGGCTCCCCGACTGCCGCCCCCTGGGAGGTGGCGGAGCTGGATAAGCAGCAGCGGGCTGGCGGGCGGCCACCTCCCGGGCTGGGCCGGCCGGCGGGCAGGCGGGGCGCGGGAGCAGGAGGAGGAGCCTTGGGGCCCGGCTGCCGCTTCCGCCAGCGGCACCTTCAGCCACCGCGGGTGCTCCGAGCCGAGGGCCGGAGAGGTGAGTCACCCCTCCTCTGAGTCTCCGCCGGGCTGTCAGCTGCGCCCTGCCCCGGGACCCGCGACCCGTTAGCTTCCCGGTTGCCCCCTTGCACCAACGCCCGCGGAGGCCAGGGGCAGCCACACGTCTGCAGGTGTCCGCTGGGACCCAGCCACGTGCGCCCGACGGCAGAGAGAGCCCGGGTCCTCGGTTCCCACTCCGCGCGTCTCCCTTCCCTAGGGACACGAGCTGCGTGCGCCGCGGCGGTGGTGAGGGTGGTGTTCTCCCTTTGCGGGGCGGGGGTACTGAGGAGACCCGGCGTTGGGACTCCGTGACGCACTCTGAGCGCCCCTCTCGCAGATCTGCGGAGTTCACAGGTTCCCTGTACCTGCTGCTCTGGCCAGCCAGACTCGGAGATTGCGGGGAGCAGTGGGCTGGGTCTTACTCGCACTTGGCCTCTCAGCCCCTTCGCAGACCCCGCCCAGCGGGGGCGGGGACGGGGGCGGTGGCCTTGGTCCGCAAGAGGCTAGGCTGGCCAGTGTCCGCCTCTTCCCATTTTCCCGAAATTTGGGGCAGGCTGCCCAAAGAGGTGTAGTTGTAACTGTAATCTCTCTGGGTAGATGAAGGGAAAGACACGCTAAGCTAATAAATTGTTCAGGGGCTAGGAGGTAGAATCCGTGGAGAAAATGAAGGCATGGCTTGCTGAGCCCTGGCAGAGGGCACCGAGAGGCCTCCAAAGTTCTCCAGCGCCACCTCTGAGACAGGCTCCAGAAATAGGGGTTATACAAATAAACCCCAGGAAAGTATTTCTGTCCGTCAGAGTATGGTGATGATATAATTAAGAGCAATCATTTATTATGCATTTATCTGTGCCAGGCCACTTGCTTTGCACACAATATCCCAGTTAACCCTCAGGACAAGAAGTCACTATTATTATCTAGATAAAGATGAGGAAAGAAGCCTCAGATAGCATGGGCATTTTGCAAGGGTACACAAGTAGCAAGTTGCAGAAGATTTGTACAGATGTATCTGACTTGGGAGCCCAGAGGAGCCATTAGTATGGGAAAGAGGCCATGTTCGAGGGTGTGGCAACCCAAAGAATGCAAGTGCTGGGGGCCAGAACATCCACAAGACCAATCGCCTGTATGGTTTGTTAAAAATACACATGCCTATGTCCCACCTACAGCTGAGGGAATCAAGTCTGCAGAATGAACCCCCTGAAGGGCAGGGACCTGTCTTACTCATCTCTGGGCCTCTCCCCAGTGGCCTGTAGATAGGCTGGGATGGAGCAGGTGCTTAATCAGTATTTGATGGATGAGTGGTCTTAGTGAGGCAGGGGCATCCCTGGAGAAGGTTTCCAAAAGAAGGCCTTGAATGGTGGACAGTTGGCCTCAGCCAGGCAGCCCGGGAGGAAAGCCTGGAGTTGGCATGGGATAATGCTGACCTCAGAGCTGTCAGTAAGCTAGGGACAACCATCCCTAAACCTGCTGAGCTCCCCAAGACCTAGCCTGGTCACTCTGGGACCACATCTCTCCAGCGTGGAGATGCCAAACAGGTGAATTCCTTTCCCGTTCATGTTTCCTGTCCTTGCCCCATGGCTCTTCCCTCCTTGAACTTATCAGAGTGATGTGCAGAGCTTCAGATAGTTAAAAAGTGAAAGTGAATGACGAAGTCCAAAGCTGCACACCTGAGTAGTGGAGGGGGAGACAGCTGAATTGACTGACTATAGGGAAGAATGCCTAGTTTTGGAGTCAAGTGATCCCAAGTCTGTATCCCTGCAGATCTTTGCCCTGTGACCTTGGCTGAGTCCTCAGCTCTGTGAACTTATTTCTTCATCTGTAAAACCTTGCGAAGGGCCTTGAACCTGACATCCCTATGAAACAAGGACAGTAATGCCTTCCTGGAGGATTAATTGTGTGAAAGGCTGAGTTTTTAGGAATGCAATAAATATCAGATTCTTCTCCCTTCCCCCAAGTATGAATGTTAATTAGCTAGGGACTGTCCAGGCTCATTGCTTTCCTAGTACATACCCCTCAGTTCACTAGAGAAGGTAACTAAGGCCCAGAGAGTAGCCTCCATGGTCCCCTTCTCCATTGCAGAACTGGTCTCAGGCCCAGCCTCAGGACTCCCTGGCCTTTAGTTTCCACACTGGGAGAAGTCTGTGCCTCCTGCTTCATAAAACCTCAGCAGGCTGGGGTGATGTTTAAGTAGGCTGGTGGGGTCGAGGTGGTGCTGAGGGTTGGGCCGGCTGCATGCAGTGATATCCAGGCTCTCTGGGCCCTAGCTGAGGCTGGATACACCCCTTCCTGACCTCTCCAGCAAAGATAGTGGCCAGGTATTCTCCTAAGCTGGGCACTCCGAGCTGCATAAATTAAGCACTCCATGAAATTGCTTTCCAGCATCTGGACCAGGAATAGGCCTCTTGATTTAAAACAAGAAAGCTAGTTTAAGCAGTTATTAAAACCTAAGGCCAAGCTTACTCTTTTCCTCCCTCCTGGGGGTTGGAGGGGTTGAGTGCCTCTTTTTTCATTCTTATCCTACCCTTGCCAACCCCATCCCATTCGAGGAGGCTGTGGGGATTATAGAACTTTGAGAGGGCTGGGCTGCAGATGGGTCCCTCTAAGGGATTTTCAAATGTTTGGCTATAGAAGTCTCACTTCTTCCTGTCTGCCCCTTGCAACTGAGCCTACCTCCCTGTCCAAACTGACCTCCTACTGACTGCAGGCCTCTGCACGTTAGCCCTTCACGTCCTCCGTATGCCATGGGCACCACTCCCATCACACCTGAAATGACACTGAACACTCAGCTTCCCACATGCTAAGCCCTGGCCCAAGCATGTTATGTGTAAGCACATTTGAACCTTCTGACTCGTAAGAGGTAGATAATGGTCTCCTAACCATATAACTTTCCCGAGAACACATGAGACTCCAATCCATTCTGACAACTACAAACTTGAAGCTCCTAACCACTAACTATATATGCTTATCCAAATTGTGCCTCATCATTTATTCATTCAACAAACATTTACTGAGCACCAACTTGGTGCCAGGCACTCAAGACCCGGTCAAGTCCTACTTCTGGTAGGATGAGTATTGGTTGTCATTTATATTCCTGCAAAAATTCCACACCTTTTGCTTATTTCTGAATACAAATGAGGGAACTTGGCTTTACTGAAGCCCAGGTCCCATAGCTAATGCAAGCTAGGGTTCAAAACAAGAGACTGCTCCCTGCAGAACTTGAAGTACTGACCACTGTGCCTGCTGTCAGAGCTGGCAGCCAACTCATGTGGGATCATGAATTCCTAGATTGTCACTTCAACCTGGGACAGCATGTGTCCCTCCTCCTCGGTTCATGTGTAGACATGTGTAGACAGCAGGTTTCCCAAAGCCCATGTGCTGGTGGTGTCTGTAATGGGAGGTCCCTTCCTGTTACTGTAGCATCCGTCATTTGTGGCGTGGCCGTCAGACTGTGGGCTTGTGCTTTTACTGTTGGTTTGGGAGGGTGACAGCATGCCCTGCAGTCAGAGTAAGGGTCTCTCTGAAGGTAAATCACTCAGGGCACATAGCTGGAGAATGTCGAGAAAGCTTCAGGTGGCTGTGAGGTGGGCCCTCCAGGTCTGCCTTTAAAGGCAGGATGACTTAATGCAGAGTCTGCAGAGTCACCAAGGGGCCTTTGCTGAGGCTTTCTGAATGACCAGCCAGACCTGTACATGGGTTAGTAGTGAATTGGACACAGTGAGAGAGGTCAGTCACCACTGTCTAGCAAATCAACGACAACCTGGGTGTGGGACTGAGCAGCTGAAGGAGGTAAGACCAGGCTCTATGTGGCTGATCTGTGGAGATGGCTCCAAGTTGGCCAAAAATGGAGTGGCACCCTGAACTGGAAGGGGAGGAAATAAGATAGTGCTGGGCCCTGGCAGCCATGAGTTGTGATAGGGATTGGGGTGCTTCCATTGGGAAAACCCAGCCCTCTCGGCCTTGCTGGATTGGAGGCTATAGGTTGGAGACCTGGTGATGCTCTCTGCTCTTGTGAGTTCTAGCACGCTGCTTTTTGTCTTCCCATAACCTTTCAACTCTTCTTGAACATTCTGATCTGGCACGGCTGTGTGTGCAGCTAGGGGAAGGGTGTTCCCAGGACTGGGGGGTGCTCAAGCCACACCTAAAGGCTCAGTGAGAACCCCAGGGGACAGAATATCACAGCTGACCAGGGTTCCTCCAGGAATCATGAGAGTACTCTTGCAGCTGCTGTCTGCTCACACCTGGAAGGTTCGCTTTCAGAAAGAAATGTGGTTTCCTGACAGCACAGCTTCTCCAAGGGGATCAGACCGACCAGGAGCCTTGATAGGAACTGAGAGTGATCCAGTGTTTACTGCCTGAGTCCTGTCAGCCCAACAGGCATCTACTAACCTCCCAGTAAGCAGAGCACACTGTGGGACTATATGGATACACAAGGATGGAGGGCACCCAGGTCCCTGTCCTCTAGGAGATTAGAGTCCAATTGGGAGACTGAGTGGCAATACAAAATGCCACCAGGCAGCAGAAAGAAGAGTCCAGGCCCAGAGCAGAGCACAGGAAATGTGTAAACAAGAGCAGTTCTACGGTGTGGATTTGGGAGCTTTCAGTTCACCGTTTTATTTAATCACAATAGAGAAGGGAAGTAACCTGTCCAAGGTCATACTGCTGGTACATGGTTGAATCTGAATTCACACCCAGGTCTATCTAACTAGATCCACCAAAGAACACAGCTGCTTCTCTGAATTCAAAGCAGGGTGAGGTGGTGTGGGGCTACGGGGGTTGGGAGGTGCCTAAGTACCCAAGAGCTTAGGCTGGCTCTTCAGGGAAGGGGGATTTGGATGGCAGGAAGATGTCAAGACTTTAAGAGGAGGGAACAGTGGGGAGCAGCAGGGACTGGAAGGAGGGAGAGTAGAAGATGAGCTAAGGGGAGAGGCAGTCTGTGCATGCTGGATAGTCCTGGACTCCAGGTAGATTCAAGAATACCCCTCCCCATAGGAGGTTTTCTCTAGCAGAAGAGTCAAGGCATAGGGGCCACAGCAGTCAAAGAACCATGCAGGCCCTGTTTTATTGTGGTAATAATAGAGTAAAGCTGCCTGGAGCGTGTGGTGTATGTTCTGGTTATAAAATGCCCAGAGTTACATAGAGCCACCATTTTCCAAGATCACAAGTTTTCAGACAAGTTGAAAATAATCAAATAGACTTGGCTTAAGACTGGACTTGGCATAATTTACTTCAATGATACAGAAGTCTCCAAATCTCTGGCCTCCCTTTGTGCTGTCAGTGTGGTCTCCAGTCAATGAGGAAAACCCTCAGCAGCAGGCAGGCACACTCCCGCCCCTGCTTTTTCCTCTGACATTGCTGTATTCTGTCTGTGGGTTCTTCTATCTGTCTTTCTCCACACTGTGGACACTGACTAGCAAGTAAAGATGACTAGGAAGACTTTGTTAGCACAAAATGCAAAAAATTATCACTAAGCCAATGACAGCCACGATGATTGCAATAAATTACTCCCACAGCAATTGATAAATTGCCACTTTCTGCAGCCATTATGCTTAGCTTTGTATCCTGAAGCATAAATGCACCTCCTCCTCCTCCCTCTCTCGCACACACGTACTCTCTCTCTCTCTTTCTCTCTCTCTCTCTCTCTCTCTCTCTCTCTCTCTCTCTCTCTCTCTCACACTGTGGTGAGGCAGTCTGCCCTGCTTTGGATGACATTTATTCATTTTATGCATCCTGGGTTCTGCTGGCTGTCCTACCTTAGTTCCTGTAGCAGGGAGACTTGAGTCTAAGCCACTAATGATCACCAGCGAGGTTTCTTCCCCAAACAGGAAGTATCAAGCCAGAACTGCGCTCTCACAGTGTGCTCTGTAACCGATCATCAGTCACCTCTCCCCGCCCAGTCCTATGGCCAGGAGCTGGAGTGCAGTCTGAGGGGGCAGCCACCCAGCTGTCCAGCCCCCTGGCAGGTCCCTTACCTTCTGAAGGTCAGTCAGAGTCCTGCCTTCAAAACCTAAGTCAGACTGCCCACAGGTTGGAGGGAGACCTGGGCAAGAAGGGTGGCCCGGATCACAGAGGGGATGTCGAAGACTGGTGCTTCCAAGCCTTGCGTCAGCCAGATGTGCCAGCCTATTGTTGGTAAGTCTGGTTAGGTCACAGATCCAAAATGGCATGGTTGGGTGTGAGCTCCTCCCAGCAGCCCGCCAGCCCCTGGCCTGCTTATGTGTGGCCCTTCATTTTGGGAGTCCCAAGGACCAGAGCTGCATGGGCTCAATTCAGGCACCGTTGTTTTGGGACTGGTGGCAAAGGGTGCAATATAATGAAGTTCTTGCCAAAATAAAATGGGAAATATTATCATCTGCACATTAAGTCAGGAGCCTTTTCAAAGTAAAGAGTTTAAGGATTTTTCCACAAATAGTACCTTCAGTTAGTGAGAGCCCTGGCGTTGTGGGTCTGATGTGTTTAAGAAAAAAGATGTGAATGTTTATGATGCATTTCTGTAGAAGGAAGGCCCATTGGGAATTGTAAATTTTATTTATTGGTGACCATTTCTGGGTTGGCTTATCACAGAACTACTGCTGTAAGTAATCAAACTGGATTTTTCTAGAATGATTAGAAATCTAGATGTTTGTTAAAAGCCCTATAAATTATTCATTCACTTCTATTTTGCAAAACAGTGTGATAACAAACTTCTCTTTTTTGTCAGACCAAACTTGCATATATGTGTATTGTGTGTGGATCGGCTTTTATGTGTGTGTTTGTGTGCGTGTCCAAGCTTTTTGTATTCTCTTCTGTAGGAACTTCTCAGCCTTCCTTTTAAAAAATATAATGATTTTTTTATGATGTCTAAATAATGATTGCAGGCAGTATTACAAGAAATATAACAGTAAAACGTTTGTGAGAGTCCATCAGAAAAGAAACATGCCCATAGAGAAAACAGAAATGCGCCAATTAAGATGTGTGGCTGTAACCCAGCTTTTAAGCCCAGATTTGAAAATGGCATCCTCTATCCAGTCTCTCCTCAGGTCAGTTGTGGGAACTGGGTTGGGGAAGAGGACTCAATTGGAGCCTCCTTCTTGCCTCCTGGACCCCATAGCTTGAGAGGGAGAAGGGGCCTGGGGCCTGTGCTGCCATAGGCTGGGATCTGTGTTAGAGGGCAGCCCCGGATTTGCAGAAACAGCCTGAGAATGAGAGGCTGGAAAGTATGGGTTTCCACAGCTCAGCAAGTCAGAGGGAAAGCCAAGAGAAAGGGAGCACCATGGGGACCAGGTGACCTGCTGTAACTCATGCCCAGGGAAGTGAGCTGCCTGCCTTCACCACTCTGGAAGCATCTCGAATGCGGGGACTAGATGGGACAAGGGCAAGAGCCAACTTTGGGGTCTTAAAGAAGTCCTAACTGGGCCTCAGTTTTCTCATCTACAAAATGGAAGTAATGATACCTTTCTACACATCAAAACTGAACGTATAATTCCACGATCAGGATCTCTCCGCAGTGTGAGTCTGGCTTCACCTCACAGTAACTTCTCTCCATGTGATGCCTGATCGTTGCAGATGTGCCCTGTGCCAGACACGTGCTGGGGTATCACTTGGCAGCTGCTTAGGGAAAAGCAAACCTTCACAGCCACGGGGAGGCCCAGAATTTCTACATGGAATGAGGAACTGGGGACTTCCCTGAAAGGAGCTTGGCTTCTATTTGCATAACAAAGTGCCCGATTTTTACTCAAATTGTCTATTTCAGATCCATAAAATGGGAAAGATTTTACAGAAGCTGTAACTCATTTTACTTGATTGGGCAATATGAATTTCTCATAGCAAAGGTTAGCTTTAATATTAACATTATCACATAGAGAGGGGTGTTGGAGATTATGAGGGCTAGGGACCCCCCTGCCCCCCACTCATCTTCTAAGGGAAAGTACCTACCATTGTATGCTAGTCCCTTCCTGTTACCTTGTGCTGCAGAGAGCCAAGGGGACCAGAGGAGGGGAGATTAATCCTGTTTCAAAGACAAGGTAGGGCGAGGGCCTCACAGAAGAGGCAGCTTTTCTGCTGGGCCTTGAATTTCATCAATTAGAGTGAAGGGACTTTCCAGGCAAAAAGATTCATGGGTCTATGACCCATGAAAAAGCACAGGGGTAGGACGACCACAGATGAGCCCTTAGACCAGGCAGGCCTCAGTTGGGAAAGACTAAGGAGGCCATCTGCCAGTAGACACAGATGGGCCTCACCTGACTGTGGATCCCCCTGCCTAATGGTAAGTGGGCAAACCCCTCCCAATGGCTATTACCCGCTGGCTCAGAAGCCCACAGGCCCTAGAGCCATCGACTGTCAAATTGGTGGTGAAAGAGAGTCCTGGATGCAGAGTCAGGCCATCTGAATTCTTGGTCATCCAGGAAACTTGGTCTTTCTCGTTGGGCTGTTAGGGGCTCCTAGGTCCCCAGGATATGTATGGTCTCCCAAGTACCACTTCTCTTCTCCCTCAGCTTGTAGTGGGCTTAGTGATCCATGCACGGGAAGGGAGGGTCTGTGGGAGTATCCCCATGGAGTATGTCTCATGGGCCCAGCGAACAAGGTTGCCGTGGCCCTGACAGCCTTCTCTTCACCAGAAAGACCCAGCTCTGACCCTCAAGACCTAGAAAAGCATAGGGAGAGAGCACCAATGCTGGGGTCCTGGGGGTCAGGGTGGGCTTTAGGAGGAGGTAGGCTGAGAGGGGCCTGAGAGTAAGAATCCAGGAAAGTAGTAGAATCTGGAGTGGTTCTTACATGCAAGTGATTCATTAATTCATTCACTCCTCATACAGACCTTTATTGAACATCTGCTGCAGTGGTTTTCAAAGTGAGGTCACGGGACCAGCAGCATCAGATTCTGGGGGTGGAGCATAACAGCACATTTAACAAGCCCTCCAGATGGCTCCACTGCTGCTCAAGTTTGACTGGCCTAAGTACTGGGATTGCAGAAGTGAGTTCGACTTAGTTCTTGCCCTGGAGGAGTTTGGGGTCCAGGGAGAAGACAGGGAAGGGAGAAATAGTGTCAGTGGGAAAGAGGGTGGCTGCTCTTGGATGTGGAGGCTGAAAGGCAGCTGGTATGGGTTTGATCCAGGAGCTGGGGACCCTGGCGGTGAAAGGTGGCCTTGCCATCCTAATGACATGGGGACTGTACGTGGAAAGGGACTAGTAGCCCCTTGAAGGCTCGGGGAACCAACGGCCCAATCGCAAACCTGTCTGATTCCCTACTCCTGACCATTAGCCTCTCCCTGCTCTACCCCCTACCTGCTCCACTGCCCCTCTCTTCCCACTCCTAAGTCCCAATTGTCTTGGTGGGAATGTGTGCATACCTCCAAGCCATTGTCTCAGAGCACATACCATGTAATTCACCCACTTAAACTATACAATCCAGTGGTTTTCAGTATGCTCACAAAGTTGTACAGCCATCACCACAATCGATTTTAGGACATTTTCATCACTCCCTATTTTCCCCAAACTCCCCCATTCCCTGGAATCTACTTTTTGTCTCTATGGATTTGCCTATTCTGGACATTTCATATAAATGGATTCATACAATAAACGGCCTTTTTCGACTGGCTCTTTTTCACTTAACATAATGTTTTCAAGGTTCATCCATGTTGTAACGTGTATAAGCACTTCATTTCTTTTTAGTGCTGAATATTATTCCATTGTATGGAAATACCGCATTTTGTTTTTCTGTTCATGAGCTGATGGACTTTGGATTTTTGCTACATTTAGGTATTATGAATAATGCTACTAGGAATATTGACGTACACATTTTTGTGTAGGCATATGTTTTCCTTTCTTTTGGGTAAACACCTAGGAGTGGAATTGCTGGGTCATGTAGAAACTGTTTGTTTAACCCTTTGAGGCACTGCCAGACTCCTTTCCACAGTGGCTGCACCATTTCACGTTTCTGCTAGCAATGGATGAGGTTACCAATTTCTCTACATCCTCACCAACACTTGTTATTATCTGTCTTTTTGATTATAACATCCTAGTGGGTATAAACTGGTCTCTCATGGTTTTAATTTGCATTTCCCTGGGGGCTAATAATGTTGAGCATCTCTTCGCACGCTTATTGACAATGCGTATGTCTTTGGAGAAATGTCTATTCAAGTCCTTTGCCCATTTTTATATAGGCTATTTGTCTTTTTTAATATTGAGATATAAGAGTTCTTTATATATTTAGAAACAAGTCCCTCATCAGGTACACAATCTGCCAGGTTTTTCTCCCATTCTGTGGATTGTATTTTCCCTTTCTCACTTTCTCCATGGCATGTTGTCTGTATATCTTTTCCACAGCAAATTAGCAGGACCTAGGAGGGGAGATTTTAAGAGGCAGGTAGGCAGACAGATGTGATAGATGTCCTGACAACGAGGGAGGATGTAACCTATAAGCGAGTTCTATCAAAAACAGCAGAAGAGACCCAAGAACATCCCCCTCTTGGGGTGATCCCTGGGTTCTGGGTGAGGATCTGACTGCCTTCTCTTCAACTACATACTGCATTTTGGAAGGATTTCTACCCCCAAAGGATAGAGTAAGCTTTGAAGCTGTACGTTCCAAAGATGTGTGCCTTCAGTCAAAATATGTGTGGAGCCCTACAATATGCGAGGATGGTGCTGGGTGCCACAGGGGACAGCCATGGAACAGAACACGGTGATCTCTGCTCTTCCAAAGCCGGCAGGAGAGTGGGGAAGGCGGATGAGGACAGGAGCCACCAGACAAGGACTTTCAGAGAAGTCCCCAACCACAGAGTAGTGCCCCTGTGTATACAGTCCTCAGCTACCTTGTGCCTACTGAGGGCAGCTGGGCAGGTATTGGCATTCTCATTTTACAGATGAGGAAACTGAGACTAGAGAGAGGACAGGACTGGTGGTGTCTCCAGGTGAGGAAATTATCAGGATGGAACCCAGAGTTTCAGCCTCTCAGATTTGTACTCTTTCCTTCCCTATACTTTTCAGGCTTAAAAATAGAGTTCTGTACAAGAATTTGTGTCTTCATGACTTGCTAAGTCCCTGGTACAGGGGTGTGAGTGTTGGTGGGTCTCTGCACACTGCGGTTTCCTGACCCCAGGCCCCTCTTTCTGGAATGCTTTTTCTAGGTTCACTCACATCCCTCAAGGCTCAGCTCA